TTGTGAACCAATCAACCAAACATAGTTGAGTATACAGTTTAATTCTGCAATTTGTTCTACTAGACAAATTACTACTGTATTGAATCCTTGCTGTGGTGTGCTAAATTGTTTCCTTATGTTTGTACCTGCCAGTTCTAAGCACCTATTCTTTTCTTCTTATTTTGTATCTATACATAACAATTCTATATTTCTTACCTCTGCAATTATACGACCTGTAGCTTATTCACATGGATCTTAAGGTACTAAACTTCCAAATTAGAACCTGGCCTAAATTTGAGATTTCCCGAATGTATACTTTTGTTTTTCTTTCATTCTTTGGAGGTGATCTGTTGGTTGCTTAATGCTCTTTACTGCATGAGTAAATTTCTTTTTCTTTATTTCTAAAGTCAGTTTTATTTTCTTCGTGAAGGTTTCCTGACGCAAATATGTAGTGAAAGCGGTTTGAGAAAAGAAGCAAATCGTTCGAGCCAACCTATTTATATGGTGTGGAGAATATAAGGTTCTTGACTTATTGATATCATCTAGTCATTTTTATAGGTGCCTGACTACATAATGAACTTTCTAGCTGTGTTGATGGCAACAAGAAGAAAAGCTTCTTTGACCAGGTGTGTCTTGGGTTGTATGCTTGAAATATTTCACTGCCTATGTTGGATGGATGATGGATCTCATACTTGCGAGGGATATTTTTACCAACAAACTACCAAAAATATCTAACTACTTTATTGTGATAAGTTTTTATATGAAAGTCACATGCGAACTTGTCTATTAGTAGCTTTCTGTTTGAAGTCAATGGGATTTCATATGAACAAGTGCGTAAGAAAGTAAAGATTGTTCTTTTCTTGCTAAAGTTTTCATTGTGCAGGTTTGCTAACTTAATTCAAGCTATCCTGGTGGACTGACATCATACATCCAGAATGCCAAAAGGCTTTTGGTAGATTGCAAGGCAGGATAAAATCCATACGATGGTTCCACACCTTCAGTAAGTCTTGCCATGCATCATCGTTTCATGAATTTGTTGGGTTGTTGGAAATGAGCCTTTTTGTGTTGTATGGGATCTAAAATTTCAATTCAGAACACCCATCTGATCATTTTTTCCTGCTCTGAACTGTTGTGTACTGATACTAATTTAACTCATTTGCCTATGTTATTATTCTGGCTGCAGGATATGTAACAACCTTCAGTTCACATGATCTGAAATAGCTCGGTGAACTTTCTTCCCACATCATGTTAGAATTCTATATGGAGTTATCTTGGCATATTATTTAATAGTAATAAAGGCAAAAGAGAAATTTTCATGTCTGGGTACATTTTAATTTCAGTTACCACTACTATGTTGCAAATGATAATGGATGCTGCCTTTTCCAAAGTACAACAAAGATTTGGAATTATTACACAAGGACATCACCAAAGCAAGTGTTCCTTATTTAAAGATTTCTTCAGCTCAAAATGTTGTTGTACTACTATGTCTTTTTGAACTGAAAAGTTTCCAGATCCCAACTTTTCCTTTTTTAAAGATTTCTTCGGATCAAATTGTTGTTGTACTACTATGTCTTTTTTAACTGAAAAGTTTCCAGATCGCAAGTTTTCCTTATTTAAAGATTTCTTTAGCTCAAAATGTTACTGTACTACTATGTCTTTTTGAACTGAACAGTTTCTAGATCACTAAGGATTGTCCTCTTCTTTGTTTAGAGAACTCGACATTCAAACCTCGCTGGCGCTGGGCTAGATGGGCTTGCTGGTATTTTATAGTCTGGTCATAAGCAGATTTGTTATCTTCAAGTAAAGCTAAATATGAGTCACACCAACTTCCTTTAGTTCTTGAGATTTTTTTGTTGTCCTTTGGATTAACAATCTGCCACATTGCTCATGGCTCTTGCATTCACTCAAGAATCAGGGCAAAGTGTGGTGAGTGTCGTGCTTCTGAATATGTTGTTCTACACTTGACATTGCAGCGCTCATCTATTAGAATTTGCATTATTGCCACAAATGATTCCAATAACTAGAACCCATGTTAGGGGCTGACAGGTACAAGCTAACCACCCTTGCATAACTCGTTAGGTAGAAATGGTGGTAGATAAATTGGCTAGCACTTGCAATTAGCAACTTGTTTGCCTGTCATACTTGGCAAAATCTATACTTGGCAATCTACTACTCCCTCCGTCCCAAAATAAGTGACTCAACTTTGTACTAGTACAAAGTTGAGTCACTTATTTTGGGACGGAGGGAGTACTTTTTATTTGATGTTTGGTTCAGGAAATAGTACCTAGCTTCAGTTAAGTTAACTATCAATTTGTTTCAGGATCAATCTCTATTCTTAGCAAATTCCCATGTTAGAAAAAATTTGTAGTATAAATTAAGTGACATCATGAAACATTTTGAATCAAGATAACAAAGAAGAATTACAAGTTTCATTAGTACAAAGTTAGTACAAAGTTGAGTCACTTATTTTGGGACGGAGCGAGTACTTTTTATTTGATGTTTGGTTCAGGAAATAGTACCTAGCTTCAGTTAAGTTAACTATCGATTTGTTTCAGGATCAATCTCTATTCTTAGCAAATTCCCATGTTAGAAAAAAATCTGTAGTATAAGTTAAGTGACATCATGAAACATTTTGAATCAAGATAACAAAGAAGAATTACAAGTTTGATAAAGCATGAGGGATCATTCATTCATTTACTTCTGATCCCTTTAAGACTGCTGCTTCTCTGTTAATACAAGACTATTAATATATATCAAACCCCTAAACTTGCTTTCGTTTTTGAATGTGATTTTTAACCAGCAACATGGACCTGCCACTCATCTGTACTGCATGTCTTCTTGCTAAAATAAGTTTAGTATTACTGCTATGCACATGCCATACCCACAGCGCCAATAAGTAACAAGTATGGTAGCCTAATCAGTAGCGCACCTTACCGCCTTAGTTGCATCCTGATGCTTTACATCCTCTAGATGTTTTTCTGGTTTTTTATTTATTTTTGCATCCTCTAGATGAACTCTTTTTACTAAACCTTCTACCATTGTTGGTAGCTGATTTTTGGAAGTCCAAGCAGCTGAACGTTTTACAGATTCATATATACCCCCTGTAACGAAGAAGTGGGTGTTTCCATGGATGGATCGGGTTTAATCTATGCATATATATCACGCTTGAGGTCATTGTATTTTGTGCCAAAATTTAATCTTAGATTAAACTAACAAAATATTAATGCATGTAGGAATGACAACTGTTTTCAGAAGCAAAAAACTTGAATTGGGAATGGAACCCTTGATGGATTGATGTTTGCTGAAGAAAGTCCTTGCAGCAAAGAAGAACATGAAGCAGGTTTTCTATTTTTTACAAGTATTTCCTTTTGTTCCTAATTGTTGTCTCTTTCGTATGGAAGCTCTGAAACAAAATGAGGTGGCCTAAAATTAAGGATTAATTCTTTTGATAACTGATTTGAGAAAACAGATTCATGGAATATAAGTACAAGGTAGACTGTAGCATTGATCATTGCTATCCTGTACATACAGTCCAACCAACTGCTCCGAGAGGAACCAAGGCGACATGCAAGTTGGCGTCTATGAAGCTTTGTCGGAGCCATTCCTGCTCTTCCAGAGCCACAAGGAGAGCCTAAAAGTCAGGGTACCACTCGCTTCTCCAAAAATTTGTATAATCATTAGAAGTTTAGAACCAGTCAAGCCAAAATTATGAAGTGGAATGCATTTGTAGGCAGAAACGTGTCCGGCTGTCGTACAAGAAGAAGTGTGCACGCCTGAGGAGCCAGGGCGCCAATGGTGCGGAGTCGTTCGCCATCAAGAGGACCAAAGCTGCCATCAGTGACCACCGGATCAAGCTCAACATCTCCCTCACCTCTGTCAACGCCCTGTCCCAGAGGGTCGTCGCCGTCCACGATGAGCCCGCAGCTCGCGGAGCTCATCCAAATGTACGTGTTTTTATTATAGTGTGCTCGATTGATATCCCCAAGAACACTGCTGCCGCATGTGTTTGATTGATGTTTCTTGTTACTGTCTTGTATGTATAGGCGGGCAAGGATGTGGCGACTCATCGGCGACGTGCACCGGGTGATGTAGTGCATAGCGGACAAGGCGAGCGTGCTCCTCTCGTTGTCGGCCACATGGTTGGAGGGAGGCATCAAGGGCTCGCTACTACCGGGGCGGACACATGCACAATTTATATTGATATATCTTATTTTGCCAAACAGCAAGATATATGCTCCTGATGCTATTAACCTGACATGGAATTTCAGTTTCTTTCACATGATACATCAATAAATATATAGAGATCCAGATGTGTTGCATTTCTGCTGGTTTCTTCTATTATAAATGTCAGTTTTTTCATAGCAACATTGCATATATACAAAACACACTACTTTAAATAGGATAATAGAAGGGGCACGTCCTACTTAGCACCGCCTTGCTTCCGCTCAAGCGGCGCGCCACGGGCGTGCCCCAACCACTAGTATATATGAAGGGTGTGTGTGGGTACACTAAAGACAGAGCATGCTTCAGCAAATTATTAAGTACAGTTGACCATGGCGAAGTTTCATCACGTGATTTACTGCTTGTGTGCTGATCTGCTCGGCACCGGGACAGAGGGGGTGATCACGAGTGTATTTGGGCCATCACGCCCCACGTTCGCCTGCCTCCTCGGCCCGTAAGTGTGTATTTACCTTTGCATCACCTCGGCAATACATGTTCATGGTTCCTTGTGTTTAATCCATGTTAATTGTTGTTTGTGAGCTGTGCACGAGATAGCATTTGCCACCTGAGTTGTTAGTTCAGACCTGCTGCATTTGATTTGATTTTATTTTTAGAAAAGGAAACCCCCCGGCTTCTGCATCTAGGCAATGCATGCATCTATTTTATTAATTATTCATAACTTTTGAAATCACCATCTTAGCAACATCTGTCGCTACTCCTATCAACTTCATGAAGGGTTGCCGATAGCCACCAAATTTACGAATCTACGGTACCAGTGTCACGCTTTCAACAACATCCTTTCATGGCCTGCGAATAGCTCTCTGAAGTGCTTCGCTAATCATCCCAGTTTCCACGACGCCAGGACCGGCAAACTGCAACAGTTCACCAAAGCTCGTCAGTAAATCAATATTGGCCTCCCGTTAATGGTGCATCTCTATTGCCAGAACAAGCTTATTCCCAGACCTGAGCTCGTATCTTGAGAGCGAGGAGGTCGTCGGGCGTCGACGCGCGCACGGAGAGCACGTCCAGGCGGAGGCTCTTGATGGCGTCGAACACTTGTGTCATCAGCAGCTCCTTCCACCGGCATTGCACCTCCAGGAGCACCTCGTTGTCAGTCACGGTGACGTTGATGACACTGCTCAGGCCGTCGTCCTTGGGGAGCACCCTCTCCGTGTCGTCCCCGCCGAGCTCTGATGCCTTTCTCTTAGAACGAGCTAACACCTTCTTCCCGCCGACTTCATGGCGTTTTCTGACAGCTGTTGTTCTGGCCGCCCTGTTGGATCCTAGCTCCTCCACCTTCTGTTCGAGCTCTCTGAGATAGGTTATCGTCTCAGCTAGGATGGATGCCTTGTCCACCTGCAATCACAATCAGAAAAAAAGAAGAGAAAAGAGTATGAAACACATCCATCTAGTACTTTTTTTCTTTTCTTTTACTTTTTGGTGGTGTGCGTGTACGTGTTACCTTGTGAATGGACGGGACCAATGACTTGAGAATCAGAAACATCTCGTTGAGCTTCTCCCGACGCCTCCTCTCCGAAATGACATGGTTTTTGGTGTTGGTACTTTCCTGAGCTCTCGCGGTGTCGTCGCCACCATTATTTGCCCATGCACCACCGGCCAAAGCTTTCTTCAGCAACTTCTGTGTCTCCCTGGCGACCAGCGTAGCCATGTCTTCGGCCGAGTCCCACGATCTCTTCCAAGCCGTAAAGCATGATGAGCGAGAGGGTTCAACGGAGCTCAAAGTGACAGCACCATTAGTGATCCCATTGGTGGCGGCAGGCGCCGGCGGCACTTCCGGCGAAGACATGATCTCAAAACACCCACCCATGGTCCAGTTTTCCTCGAGAGCACCCACGTCCAGCTCATCGTAGAGGCCGTAGAACCTATTGATCTCCTTCGTGATTCGCTCAAGGTTGTCGTCGGATAGGCACTCGACCTCCCCTAGCTCAAGTTCCCCGGGTATCATCATGGCCATGGTATTATGGTTGAGGACATCGAACACGATGTCAGCGTCCCCAGTATCGTCTACTGATGGGATGGAGTTCGGCTCCTCCGACTTCGAGCATGTTGGGAACTTCAGCTCCCAGAAAGATGTGCCGATCCAGTTTACCATGCCCTTGTCCTCCAAAACCTAGCAAATAAATTAATAGCACTTTGTTTTATTTTAACTTATTCAAAGGAGTGAACACCATGAAAGAAAGTACTACTTTTCAATAAGGTCCGCTACTTTTCAATAAGGTCCGACTTTAGAGAGGAGAGACATGAACTTGTTTTAGGCGTAGAAAAGGCATAGTGTCATTTTTCCGAATTCCTTAGAGAGAGTTGTCTTGTGCCATGCATGACTTGCATTTCGTTTGGTGGAGAACTGGAAAAACTCATGGACTGATTTGGTCTTTAGTCTTCATGACCTCATGGGGGAGAATCTAGGCAATTAATAGGAGCATTTGGTTCATCTTAAAGACAATTTTTGATGATAAACAATAACATGTTGTATTTCACCAAGGTACCATCAAAAACTAAGGGACAACTAGTCAACAGGAGCGAATAAAAAAAACAGTTTTCAATCGATTATGTTTGGACCATTGGATCCACATCCAACGGCTACCCTCCCTGGCCCAAACACACTGTTTATCTTCCCCACGAACCCCTTCTTCCACATGATCCCTTCTACCTCCATTGCCTCCGGCCCAGCCCACGTACCACCGACTAGACTACATAGCCCCCCACCCTTCCTCGTGGCCGATGACATACTGCCTTTCCCTTCCCTCTACATCGCCTATGTGGTCTGATGCCGCCTTCGGCTATCCCTCTAAACCTCCAAAGGCACCACAATTTCACCAAGGAGCCCGCAAACTCCATCCACATGCGACGCCGCTACCTCGTTTGCGCTTGCCACGGCATCCGTCTTGTGACTCGGGGCTACACGTTGCTCTCTCCTAAATCAGTTGATGCAATTGAAAATTCCAGTTGCCTGTGTAATAGCAACTGCGATATACTAATGGGTTTAACTCAACCCAATTGTTGCACATGAGATTTGCCCCTGTAAGGGACGACGTGTATGCACCCTTTTTCACCGCCATTGCTGAATCCTACAGTTGAGAATTGACATGTTGTTCACAATTGACATGTCAACTTGAGAGCATCATCTAGAGCTTGAGACTCTACTCAGCCTGAAACTTTGAAAAATCAAAATGATAGTTACATGTTTCAAAAGAATTATGAAAATAAATCTACATATAGATATAGATCTCTTGTACATATATGTAACGTTTTATTAAGAGATATTGTAGCATGCATGTGAGCTACAAAAAAAAACAGATGTCTGGATCTGGGAATACAAGTGCATCTACTATTTGCACTCTTTAGATCTACACATGCATGAGTATTTATCTTTGTTGTCTAGCAATATATGGAAAGATGTAGTATTCAAAGAAAATATACAGATACATATATCTGACACATTTTGCATTTCAATCTTACTAAATGTCACTCAACAGGGACTTTTATGTCTCAGTCGATTATATATTCGTGAGATCTTAATAATGAGATCTGTGTAAAAAAAATTAGTTTTTCTTTTTTTCTTCCATGTTATGTCACTTGACTGAGACTTGTTTAAGTCTCGGTCGACTGAGAGCTAGTCACACCCTTTGTGTTTTTTAACAAAGAGACTCTATGTAGTATGGCCGGGTTCACTTTCCATTTTTTTGGGTAGTTTGTTTGTCTTAGCTCGTGCCGAGAGGAGAGAACCACACACAGTTTATACAAGTAGACTATGAAAATATGTTAAAAGGAGAACATCGTGTGCTTCATCATGGGACGAAAACTCACTGTGTTTGTTGTCCCCAGCTCAAGCACACCACCCATCAATGGAATGCAGGCGACTGTCTGAAAAAAATGTGATCCAAGATACGTGCAGTTAGGTTGAGAAATCTGATCTGAACAGTATGCACAGGTGATAAAGTGCATGGCGTGCGCTAACCTGGATAGACGCCGTCTGGTTCAACCGGCAGAGGTAGCATGCATGGGCGCCATACATGGTGGACATCATGATATTAGTTAACAATAGCTAAAGATATATAGGAGTACATATATAGATCGGGTGCAGATTAGAGAGTGAGTTAATTGCTCAACCAAGGATGCGGCTACACGTCAATCGATTGATTTTTCAATTAGGGTCACTCCACCGTTGTGGATCGTTGGATGAAGATTGTACGGCGCCTGGACCTTCTTCTTCCTCACCTCCTTCTTCCCAGATCGCCAAACGAGCCGCCGACCACCGCCGCCCCCGGCCGGCGGCGCTCCCGCGACTGCCTCGCCGCCCCACCTTCCCCGGAACCGCCTCCCACCGCCTGTCTAGCCGCCGCCCCCGCCATCCCTTTAGGCCCGCCCGCGTCTGGGCTTTTTCTCCGGCGAAGTGCACCATCGCCACACCACCGCTGTCCACCACCGTCCCCACCCTAAACACTAAGATAAATAATGGGGTAGCCCTCCGGCGAGCCCCTTCCTTCTCCTTTCTTCCCTCCGGGCTCACTCCGATGAATTCTCAAAAATCGACTGACGCTAATTCGAAAATGAGTCGACTGTCATTTAGCTAAACTGCTCAAATAAACGTATGTACCTTTGCTAAGAGCGCGCGTTGGAAGGTTTTGGTGTCTGCGCACTGAGCATTGCACAACCAAACATGCTCGTTGCTCGCAAAGCTTCTGCCTGGCAACCTGACCAAATAGCGAACACAAAAATCTTCAGTAAATTAGCACTTCGTCTAATATAGGAGTATCTTACCAAGACAAAGTTACTAGCTCCCTTTGGATTGGTAATGGATTAGAGTTGTTCTTGAGATACATACCCTTGACCAGGGCGGAAGGCGTAGCCCATGCAGACGGTGTAGTACCATTCGGCGTCCCCGAGGTCCTCAGGCGACAGCGCGGCGGCGGGACGCCTCGCCCGGTGGTCGCACTGGCCGGACAGGAGAGACTCGTAGAGCTCCCGCAGCTGCTCGCTCCTCTGCAGGACGAGCTGGTCGGCGGTGATGTCCGCCGAGCTGGTGACCTTCCTCGTTTTTATCTCGCCGTTGTAGAACCCGTCCTTCCACGTCAGAACCCTATGCACAACAAACGGCCGGTATCGTAAGAGGAAAGAAAACGGCTTGCTTCTCACAAATTGAAAAGTATTATTGCAGCTAGTTGGAGTGGTCATCACTCGGATGTACTCTTCGTGTATAAATTAAATTATTACCCTGGACGGCTGGTTGAAATGGACCAGAATATGGCGTAGCTCCAGTTGATGCTCCTCACAGCGGCAGCTAGCTGGTTGCTGAATTGCGTCCCCGTCGGCGGCGGTAGGGTGGGCTCTTCCTGGCATGGACGAACTACTGGCAGCGCCATTACCACACTATTTCCTTCCTTCATATGCATGCATGCAAACAAGGTGAAGTTAGAGCAAGCCAGGAGGCAAAAAATAAACAAATCAATGGAGCTATAGCCTCATTTCTACTATTCATAGTAAGCATGATGCATCTTCTTAGCTAATTTAGTCAAATCTCTTTGCTCTGTTGCACTGGCGCTAACTAAGAAACTAAGAAAGTAAGCTAGCCATGACCCATGAGTGGAGGAGAAACTTCCAACTAAAAGGCTGTTAAAGGTTTACTTGGGCTATGGAGACCAAGAAGCTCAGAGGCCAACCTGTCGTCCGGGGAGGAAGATGGAGCCGCTATATATGCAATGTACAAGAATCCAGGGCATATGTTATATAGATCTGTCCTTGCAGCAGACGAGCAACGAGTGACTGCGACGCAACATCAAAGTACTGTGCTGCACTAACATACAATTAGGCCCATCACTTTCTAGCTAGTGTAGTGCCTGCTTGGTTTTCTCGCTGCTTAGTAAAACTGGACTGAGATGCACGAAATCCTCACCGATTTCTGCTTGACGGTGAGGTGACGGGGTAAGTCATTCGTAGGGCCAATTGGCGCAGAATAATCGACGTCGACGACGCCTAAGGAAACACGGCCTGCCGATGCAATTATAGTGTCAGCAGTAGTAGTGCAGAGACGTTCTACCAAGAGAACTATACTTAGTCTAGTAATTAGAGTGTAACTGCGAAAGTCTTGTACGTGTGTTCCAGCACAACCTTTAATTTGCCGGCCCCTCACCAAGGAATCTACCATCGGCATCAAAATGATAATGCATCTTCTCTATCTATGGAAGAAAATTACGAACTGGATTTACAGAGGTGGTGGTTGGCTCGCAGTGAAAATCTGGAGGAGGTTAGTGGGGATTGGGACATGTATGTATTTCAACAAGGAGGTAGCTGACACATAATCCACTTGATATATAGGGCTCCTTGTCCTTGTGGCCATACATATAAGACATGTACTTAGGGCAGCTCCAACGCGGATCACCAGTTAGACGGCACTAAATGTCTGTAGACATGTCCGGACGTATCCATGGACAGCGGGCGAGGCGCCGGCCATCCAACTGTAGGCATCAAATCAAATGTATGTCTGCCAAAAAAATTCCTCTGCCCAGAGCACTGGAAATAATCAAAGATATACACAATTCTTCAACAATGAAAGAAAAATATTCCAATGCAATAAAATTCAAATCCTCTAAAACACTAAATTCCCTAGTTTTAGAGAGCTGAGAATCAATTGAGGGCAACATTACCGATTTTGGCTTCCGATTTTGACAGGGTCGCCTCGCCGGGCCTCTACAGTTTTGTGGGCCCTATATGTAAGTGCCCCGGTCATGTGGGCTTTCTGGTCTTTTCTGATGAAAGCGGCGTGGCGGCTGGGGGCTTCCTTGGTGGCCGCGTGTCCATCAATCGCCGGTTACTACTTCGGGAAGGAGATGGGCTGAGGTGATTTGTGGCGTGGTCGGCGGCATTTGTGCCCTCTCTTCGGCGGCATTGTTTCCCCCTCGTTCTTGGTGCTCCTGGAGGTGGTCGGCGGCAGGTGCTGTGAGGGGTCGCATTGGAGCGGCGTGGACGCCGAAGGGGAGTGGAGCTGTGCGGGCGCCGGTCCTGCTGCATCTGCCGCTTCTAGTATGAATATTATAATCCAGACATAAAGTTTTGAAATAAAATAGCTCAAATTTGAATTCATCTTATTCGAGCATAAATTGTAGTTGTCTCCTTCAAACACCCACAAATGCTTAACCAGATTGTTCTTAAGCTGCTCGTGAGTTCCTCGTTGGCGAATCTGTTGATGCATTTGGATGAAATCATCAAACATCGCCAGATTCTGCTTTGGAAGATGGATATGATCACTCATCTCTTGAAATTACAGACCTCGGCAAACTCCTCACTCTCATCCTGCATAATTATGTTGCGCATGATCACCCAAGCTGTCATCACCTTCCATAGTGTCTTTGGATCCCATAGTGTAGCAAGTCCGCGAACTACTGCAAAGCGGGCTTGGAGCACTCCAAATGCCCTCTCCACATCCTTTTTTATCACTTTCTTGTTTTGTGGCGAAGTGTCATTTCTTGTTACCCCTTGGCTTAGAGATGGTCTTGATGAAGGTCGCCCATGGAGGATAGATACCATCATAAAGATAGTATCCCATGTTGTAAGCGTGATCATTGATGGTATAGTGCATGTACAAGCTTCGCCCACAACTTTGCAAATAACGGAGACCGTTGTGGCATGTTGATGTCATTGTCAGACCTAAGCATGCAAAAGAAAGAGTGTCAAATTCATAGGTCTCGTGATGAAACCGCTTCAAGAATTATGGCAATCTTTTTTTGCAATGGCCCTGATATTGACTCTGTTGAGCATATGGGCAGTTTTTTCATTTCCACTGTATGCAGGGATACAAAAATACCTGGAAACCACTTTGATTCTTCAATTTCCATGAGCTTTCTTGTGTCTGCGGCATTTGGTTCTGTCAAGTACATCAGTCCAAACACACCCTGACCACAACAGTAGCAAAATTTCAGCCATCTGGAGGCATTTGTCGAATCTGGAGTTGTGCCATATGCAAGCATCGTCATAGCAGCCATGCACTCCTGATAATCAGAGAACCAACTATTTCCAATGTCATCCCTCTTCAACTTGAAGTAATCATCATTGGCCCTGACACGTTTTAGATGCGTTCGAACACGCGCCACCGCATCCAAAATCAGCGACCTAAATAGGGTTCGAATAGCGCATCGGGGGCAAAGCAGTCATCGTATGATATCATAAGGCATTGTCCCCTCTATCACTTCAACACTTGAAGTCCCTTTATTGAACCATTGTAATTGAGAAGATGCTCCTCTGCACACTATGCGTCTTCAAGAATCACCCTGATATTCGCCATTTCAACATCACCTTCATGCTCAACCGACAAATACTAATCCATGAACTCGACATAGAAGTACTCCTCATTCGAATCGATCGTGTTTGCTTCAAACTAAACAACGAGAACGTCAAAAATTGGCAACGGCATTTGATTGAACACTTGCCGGGTGTGGTGCCCACCATGAACTCCGTCGGCAGGGGCGAAGGATACCTGGGTCGCAGCTGGTTCCGAGGTGGAATGGTGGTGTAGGAAAAATAAAGCATGCACCTAGCCGAGGTAGCGGAGGTCTGAAAAGGCTCGGGTGATGTCAGAGGTGGTACAAAGGCAGTGGCGGAGTCCATTAGTATGGATATATAGCACAGGAGGATGGACGGACCAGGGAGAAACACAGGCTTCGGGTGGGGCTTTTGGATGGGCCCGAGTTTCGTAGTCCGACATGGTGGATATCGGTGTCAAAACCGTCGGATCTTGGGTAGGAGGTCCCGAACTGTGCGTATAAGGCGGATGGTAACAGGAGGCGGGGGACACGATGTTTTACCCAGGTTCAGGCCCTCTCGATGGAGGTAAAACCCTACGTCATGCTTGATTAATATTGATGATATGGGTAGTACAAGAGTAGATCTACCACGAGATCAGAGAGGCTAAACCCTAGAAGCTAGCCTATGGTATGATTGTATGTTGTCCTACGGACTAAAACCCTTCGGTTTATATAGACACCGGAAAGGGCTAGGGTTACACAAGGTCGGTTACAAAGGAGGAGATATACATATCCGTATTGCCTAGCTTGCCTTCCAAGCCAAGTAGAGTCCCATTCGGACACGATACGAAGTCTTCAATCTTGTATCTTCATAGTCTAACAGTTCGGCCAATGGATATAGTCCGGTTGTCCGGAGACCCCCTAATCCAGGACTCCCTCAGTAGCCCCTGAACCAAGCTTCAATGACGACGAGTCCGGCGCGCAGTATTGTCTTCGGCATTGCAAGGCGGGTTCCTCCTTCGAATACACCACAGAAGAATTTGAATTCAAGGATAGTGTCCGACCCTGCAAAATAAGTTCCACATACCACCGTAGAGAGAATAATATTTTCACAAATCTAATCTGCTGACTTGTTTTGGCAACATGACATTAAGCCATGGCCCGGTGATTATTCGAACTGTTTCCTTTAACTAGCCCCGCACATAACGCGAGGCAGTTTTTTGACACGTCTTGTCAAAGCAGAGATCGTGTCCCCCTTATTACGGGATTCTCATCAATACGGGCGTGGGTAACCCAACCGCGCCATCGATTACGACGCTTGGGGGATAAGAGAGTTTTACCAGGCTAGTGGGGGCGCATAGCTTCGGTCGCCCTTATAAAGAGATAAGGTTTAACCTTTTTCTACCCACGCCTTCTTCCTCCTTGCCTATCCGTTCTTGCGCACTTGAGCTCCAACGCCCAAGCCCACATCCTTCCCCTCAACCTTCTCCAAACATGTCCGGAGCGGGGGACAAATGGATGGCTTCCTCCATTATGGAGGGGCACATCAAAAAGTTGCGCGGCGCCGGATACTTAGCCGCGAATATCGCGCATCGGCTGCTCGCTGCGGGTCAGATCGTTCCTACCCCGGAACCTCATGAGAGGGTAGTTTTCCTCCACCACTTCCTCCGTGGACTGGGGTTTCCCCTTCATCCATTCGTCCGTGGTCTCATGTTCTACTACGGGCTGGACTTTCATGATCTGGCCCCAAACTTCATCCTCAACATTTCGGCGTTCATCGTCGTTTGTGAGGCTTTCCTCCGTGTCCGGCCCCACTTTGGCCTATGGTTAAAGACCTTCAATATCAAGCCGAAGGTGGTGGGCGGCCAACAAGCAGAATGCGGCGGAGCCATGGTGGGCAAGATTCCCAATGTTATATGGCTTGAAGGCTCCTTCGTGGAGACCATAAAGGGGTGGCAATTGGTGTGGTTCTGCATCACTGAGCCGCGCGACGCCAAATGGGTGGCTGCCCCCAAGTTTCGATCCGGAATTCCCACGCGGCTCACCTCCTGGAAATAGAAGGGCCTGTCCTGGGGTTCATCGGTAGAGCTGGACGGACTCCAGAAATGTATCCGGAATATGGCCGGCAAGAAGCTCAAGCTTGTCAATATAGTCCAGGTCATGCTCATCCGCCGGATCCTCCCGTGCCAACAACGGGACTTCAACTTGTGGGATTTTGACCCATCCCAGCACCAGACTCTGAGCGAGCTCTTCGACACGACGCACAAGGACATCTCGAAGATGTTGTTCAAGGGCGCCGAGGTCCCTCCCTCCCTCACCGAGGAGCGCGGGCTAAGCGCGAAGCGCCAAGCGCATTCGGTGAGTTCTATACATCCGGTAGGATATTTATCTTCCCCAGCTTAACCATGTGCGGGGTCTGAGCTCCATGCCTTTGACAGGACTGGGTGGAGACGTCGGGGCAGATTAACTGTCCGGCCCCTCTGCCCGAAGACACTGCGGACGCTCTCCTGACGGAGATGCTGACTCCGTCTCCTTACAAGGTGCCGGAGAAGACCAAGAAGGCCAAGGGAACCCGAAAGAGTTCCCGACGCCAGGGTTTATCGGACTTATCATCGGATAACTCCGCGACGCACTCATCCCCCGAAGATGAGGAGGAAGATGAAGATGTTCCCCCTCTAGTCGGGGGAGACAAGAAAAGGAAGGCCGCCCCTACTGGGGAGGGGGGGCAAAGGGTCCAAGAAGGGAAGGACTCTCCTGCCAGACTACTCCACCACCGCCGCCGAAGGCGAAGACGAGTGGATGCTCAGGGCCAAGCCCCTGGCGAAGTCGTAAGTATTCGGATACCGAAGTAACTCATAGCATTCCTTTGTCGCACTGCTTCTCCTAACACCGAATTATGATTATGCAGACCGCCACGAGCCCGTATCGATGTACCGTCGGATGGCTCCCTGGGCTCGTCAGATATGGATAGAGATCCACTTCCGACTGCCACATCCCCTTGCCCTACGGACAACGCCGAGGTATTGTCTCAAGAGGCACCGGGTCGAGGGGAGATAGTCCCAGAGGCGCCTCAAGGCGACCTTCCGGACTCCGGGAGCAGAGGGAGCAAGGCTCCCGAGGGCTCCGAGTTCGGCCATCAGCCGAACACCGCGCCGGAACCTCCAATGGTTCCGGACTCAGGCAGGCGGCCTCCTTCCAAAAAGGGGCAAGACGCCTATGCCGGTGACCTCTGTCCACCGAGAGGCACCGGACAATCTGCTGGGAGCGCTTCGTAGCGCTTCCATCAATAAAGAGCACCACACTATTATGAGTGCGGTGGTCCAGAAGGTTCAGTCCGCCAAGAGCAGATTGACTGAAACCTGTGCCAGCCTTCTAACAGGCTTTGAGGTAAGTTTTTGAAATATAGAAGAAATATTAACGCATAGACAGTAGCCCCTAATGCTCTATTCGGTGTTCACAAATAAAAGCCGAACAGAGGATCAAACAATATCGCAGGAGTCTAATATAAGTATGTCTATATGTGTATGCAGGCTTCGCTGCTGGCCTCTGCCGCACTGACTGCGGAGGTCGCCGCACTGAAGAAGGACCTTAAAGGGTCCAAGGAAGAGCTCGGCCTTGCCTAGAAGGAGCTCGAGAAGAGCAAAGGTAAGTAGTACCTAGTCTATGGATATGTATAAAAAGAATGGGATTGCAAAATGACAGGATCATCGTAAATTTGCCAGGGGCCACGACCGAGGTGGCGACCCTGAAGCAAGCGCTATCCGAGGACGAAAACAAAGCGGCCAAGGAGCGCACCGAGCGGGAAAGGTATGAGGCACGGGTGGGCGAGGTGCAGCAAGAGCTCCACGCTCTCGTGACAAAACATGAGGCGTTGGAGCTGGACTTGAAGACGCGAGAGTCTGAGCTTGCTGCGGCCCTCGAGAGCGCAAAGAATGCCAAGGCCGAAGCCCAAAAGGCCCTCCCGGAGATTGATGCGATGAAGAAGATAGCAGCGGGTAAGGCATTCTATATGCAAAGCAAGCATGTGAAAGTAAATTACTTGTTACTAACCCGAATCCGGAGCTCTCCAGGAGCATTCGCAGATTTGCCCCGCAGCGTGTCGGATGCCGCAACATTTTACCAGGCCGAGGAGGGAAGCTCAACGGAGAAGTTGTTCTGGGCCCAGTATACTGGGACCGAACACCCGGTGCCTATGAGCGACCAGCTAAAGCAGCTGGTCGAGCTACACAAGGCGGCCGAACAGGCCATGCAGGGCTTTATAGTCCGGCCATGGCCTGGCGACGCCCTTCCGAACAGCTACTTTGGCCTGGTGAGGCGGCTTGTGGATTCCTGCCCACGGCTAGACGTTGTCAAGCGGTCCGTCTGCATCGAAGGTGCACGCCGGGCTTTCGCCCGCGTGAAGGTGCAATGGGCCAAGCTAGACGCCGTGAAGCTGATCAAGGAAGGGCCGCCGGAGGGCATGGAGCATCGCCACCCCGAGATGTACTATGAGGGTGTCCTGAAGGGTGCCCGTCTCGTAGCGGACGAGTGTACCAAAGATACAATATTTGAGTAAACCCGCTCGTGTAATCCTGTATTCATGAAAACTTGTACATATGCGCCATGCAACGCTTGTTTGAATTTAAAATATTACCTTCTGTTCGGCTGTTTATCAAATCTGAGAGATGGCTAGTTGTCGGCTTCTGCTCTCATGCCACGAGTGCTGGGGTGTTCGGGATAAACCTGAGCACTCTTGTTCATAT